GGCGACGACTGTCTTTTCCATAAAACTCTGTGAACATAACGCCTCATCCATACAGTCCCAAATGAATCTTGCGATGATATTTTCATCTGCACTGCATGAGCACGTTTCACAAAATATAACAGCTCTGTTAGTTGGACGCTTGCCGTATTTATCTGGTCTGCACATTCAATCTGATCGGTGACATTTTGCATCTATGTACCCTAGGCATGAAGACAAGTTACTGAGGGGGAAGTAATACACATTCCTCTACATAAATATAGGAATACATAAATGGGATATCAAAGGCCGACACTTAATGTTCAGGTATATTGCCTTCAGATTTGAAATGAACCCTGTTAAATCACACCGTTTCCCCGCGTTAGAGTTGGTGCTGGAGAGTTGAAAGGACTGCTGCGTTACCAACAGGCAAATGGCAGAACTCTAATGGTTTAGGGCACGGGAGAACAAATACACAAACGTTTTAGCCAAGTGCCCTTGTTGAGTCTCGAACAATAGGAATGCATTACCACCAGGCTTACAAGATTCTGACTGACATTTAACATTTTTGTCACCGTTTACCATCCAAAAACTGTACTCTATTTGTTGTAACTTGCTATGTGGAACAGTGGACAGCTGAAACACAATGTTATACAGCTGGTCAGGCCTCAAATGGTCCCAAAATGCCCCTGACCACTTTATAAGACTGCTGTTTTAAATAAAAATCATTTAGGTCTGGGCCATCAACACGGCAACCATTAGATCTGCAAACATCATCGCCAGTGCCTCTCTGGCTGCCAGGGCGATGCATCCGTCTGGAGAAGGATAGCACTGCTGGCATGCACTGACAGGGTAAATCTCACTCTAGGCCTATCACAGGGGGAGATTGATGCACTTCGCAGTGGGGGGGAGAGCTGACATTCATTTTAATTAGGCGGGCAAAATATTGTCTCCGCGGCATCTAGCCCTCCCCTTGCCTTAACCTCAACTTCTCTTCGCGAAAAAATGAAGCGGGGGGGCCTCCAGGGAGGAATGGCCTCTGGAGTAGGCCACAAATCAGCTAAATATATCACTTCAATTCCTGACGACATTACTGTGCTTAAGATTCTTGATTAACATTTAATTAACATTTGTATGACATTTCAGATCAGAGGCAAACACAAATATAAATGTTATCTTTGAGGGTGAGGTCTCCTCCAATGGGAGGGGCTCTGTCGACACATGTCATGTAATATAAATAGTCGAGGAAACTCAAACCAAGGGAAGGGTTCATAAGGTCAGGGGACAGTGTCATGGTAAAGGGGCATTTTAACGAGCATGTGATTGGGGAAAGCTTCACAAGATGCTTTTCATTCAGAAAACATCATTAAAGCCTGCAGGGGCTCACAATAACTGCACACAGCAACACACAAACAGCCACTTAAGAGAAGTCACAGGAAAAAGCACACAGCAATCTATACAGCCTGCACCTGTCGGCGAGCCAATTAAAATCCAAACAAGTGTCCGCGGCACAGAGGAGAAGCTGTACACCGACACCTTTAATAAACCCAGCCACTGGCCATGTCACTGTTTTTCTGCTCCACATATACTGTTTATCTTCCACCCCCCGGCAGTGACATCTGAGACACAGAGAGGAATAAATAGATCATTAAGGGAGTGATATTTGTCGTTCATCTCAACTAATGGAAAGATTGTCGAACACCACACGTAACGCACGCTTGCGTAAGATTCTTTATCATGATCACTAAGCCATTGGTCAAGAGTCAACAATATGTATGTAGAAGATTCAATATTAACAGGAGAATGTTCAATATACAACCGAGTGAATAATTCAGTATTCATTTTCTAATCATCTCTGCCAGGCGTGAGCCTGCAGGGAGATCATGCATTTGGTTGTGTGTGCATCTGTATGTCTGTCCACGACTAATCTCGCATACTACTGGACCCGTCAGCCAAATGTTTTTTGTGCATATTACCACTATATGCTTCAGGATCTCTTGTGGTTTCATTAAATGTTTGATTAAAAAAAAATACATTTTATTGATTTTTTTATAACCATTTTAATTTTTGTGTGAATTTTCTCTTGATTTCTAGTCGCTATACTAGAACATTGTGATGTAGCACTTCAAAATTAAAGCCCTTCAAAATCTCATTCATGAGACAATTTATCTAATTTCAGATTAGATTTTAGAGGAAATGGTGCATAGTTACAAAATAATTTCACTCCAGGTTAATATCAGACCACCTCAAGGTGTCACTCAGAGAGAACCAGGACATTCTGATGTAGCATTTCAAAATGAAATTGATTTATTGCACACTCCACATTCGCAATTCTGTAATAACTAGACTATACAGTTTCCACCCTAAACAAAAACACTCAAATTCAAAGATGTGAAAACAATTAGTTTTCTTATTCGAGTAGATAGTTGTGTTTTTCACACTGAAACTGGTAGTATTCAAGTTGTATACAAATACAACGATACAATGACGTGGTAGCAACGCTATTCAGCCGTTTCTCTATTAAATCTTGAAATAGTTACCCTTGCCGTGCTGGCATTTTGAGTACTGATGGTCCGACTTGCGAACATTCAAGTCTCACTGTGAATAAGTGAAGCACCCGATAATAAACGACACAACAAAGACGTTGCAAAGACAGCACAGCAAATTGTTTTTTTTTCTAAATGTTGATGAAGAAAATGGCGGACATGCGCATTTCAAAGTTCAAAGTTGGGGCGATTAAATTTTGAGTCTTTTTTTAATGTTTTTTTTTCATCTTTAATATCTTACATTCTTTTCGAAGGTTTATATCTCACTCATTGTCAGAAATGAGGTGTGTGATTATATGTTGTTAGGTTTTGACAGCACCTTCAAGACTTATACTTTTTTTTTACTTTTACTCTGAAAAATTACTTAATTGGTACTGTAAATATGTCCGATTTTCAGTATGGGTGCAGTCAATGATGTCCTGAACACATATATATCAGTCATTGTATGGAATTATTGAGAAAATACTTTTTATAAAACTTCAAATATTCAGAAATGTACCCGTTTCTCGGTGCAAATGTATGACTTTTACTTTGACTTAAACCGTCCGATAGAAGCCGCAAGTGATCAACGACTGCTTCAGTCGAACAGGAATTTCCAGCAGTTGGCGTGGCTGAAAACAAGCACAGTCTCGGCTGTTGCAGGCCACATTTTGGCCTTCGTTGTGGCTCAAAAACTGAAATCCAAGGAAAAGTTTTGCCACATTTTGAACCGGAGCATCTGCAGATAAATTCCCCACCAGATATGTTATGATCCACTTATGTTTAGCATAAGATCAGATGAATAAATCCCCATTTGTGTTATTATTGCTGCCATCTTGACTGTAAGGGAGCCAGGAGGGAAAACTGAGTGTTTACTGCTTATTTGGAGGCGGTGTACGAAATCCTCCCATATGTTCTTATTATTACATCGTATCAGGCAACAGATCGACTTTACCTGTCTTAAAGGTACAGAGACATGCGGCAACTGCAACTCTGTCAACCACTGTGTGAAACAGCTGCTAAGGGGGCAGGGCTGAATGAACAGTCAGTTGTGGGCACATGTTAAGGAATGAGGAAAAACGGAACTACACATTCATGAACAAATAGCGGCCAGTCAAAAAAAAAAAACTTTGAGAAGGGTTGGAATTATTGAAAATTTCAACATAATGTACATTTTCACAGCACAAATTCATGAAGACAACAACGTAGTGGCATATTACTCACCACTCTGCTTCTTTGAGTTTTTAATGTATTAAAGTCTTTGAATGGTAAAGTCTCGTCTATCAATTAAATAAAAGACAATTACCATTACAAAAATATTCTATTTAGAGTAGTATTTTTTATCATTTTCGTAGGCATAAAGCTGTGCCGTCTAAGAGTCCTGTAATTTGCTTGATTTCAAATGCTGAACTGCATTAATCAAGTCACCGTCGACTAAAAAGCTTTCCATCACCGATACAGTATATTGCCACATGCCTGACCTTGATGCCGGATATATTGCAGCAGGATGTTTTCCAGTGCCGGCAAATCTGTGTCCAGTCACACTTCAGAATATGTGAAAATGCATGAAAAAATGTCTCCATGAGTTCTGTATCCACTGCACTCATCACTCTCAGTTATTTGGAAATTATTCTCTGTCGCCCCTCTGACAGCTGACAGATGTTTCTGGTTTGTAGTTCTAAATCAAACCACGGACAGAAAACAAGACAACATTCGTGAATGCGGCCCAATGAGTTCTGTAGGCGACCACCACAACAAACATCTTACTGATGAGCGTGTTTTCTGTGAGCTGGAATGTTGCTTTGTATAGCATATGAGAAACAGGCAAGCTGCCAAATTCAGTCGTGCGTCTGCATATAATCCAGATGAAAGCTCAGTAGAGGGCAAAACAGTGAGTATATTTAAAGGTTATGCATTAATGGTTACACTTCCTCAGACGCCGAGTAATCGACTGTGCCACTCACCGAGCCCAGTCGGGGTCAAAGGTGACGCAACACGAAAACATGACGCCGGTGACACATTCATTACTGGTTGTGGCGTTGGCCCGGTTACTCAAACGGAGAACCCATTGTAGTGCGTGAAACGTATCACAACTGTCGACGACGATCCTTTCTCAGCAACACAAGTGTGCTGTGGTGTAACAGCTCGTGAGAGTCGCCAATTACTGTTCCGAGGATGTGATTCGCGTTTGACAGTCTCTAAGAAGCGCAACGGTGGTTAGTAGGAGGATGAAACCGAGTATTTCCTCTCTACGCGACTCTCCCTTCCCCTCTGTTCCTCCGTCTATCTGCTTTGCTTCCATCCTTCTGGGGGCTGTGACCCACGCGCAGTCACTCATTGTTTTGGATGACTGCAGCTGTCACGCCTCCCGATAAATTGTTTCCTGGCAAAAGGACAAAGCCACGTGGGCCAGCAGCGCCTCGTGCTTCCACTTCCCCTGGACCAGCCCCTCCATTAGCGATGAGCTCGTGCTTGTCAGCGGAGGAAGGCAGACAACAATAAGCCCCCATCGTCTTGCATTAAGCTGTATGCAACTGTGTTACATTGCTGAATTGACGAGCAGGGCTAACGGTGGTTGGGCAGAGGATGCGATCGGCAGGCAGGAGGAGGCCTGAGATGTCTCGGATGAAGTTGCGAACAATTGGTGCTGACAGACAACAATTAGGTGAGCTGCCGCCGCCTCGCGTCATTTGTCAGTGAACCAAGTGAGTAAATCATGTACTGTTGAAGGCGTCCACTAACACTTTTGAGTGGATAACTGAATGCATGATGTACTATGATAGACACCACTTTTTCATTATGCAAATAGATGAGTATGTCAAGGAACTGAGGGAAAAGTGATTCGAAAGGGTCACAATACTTTACAAGTACACTTGCTCTTATCAATGCTCTTAGAAAGTGTACGAAAGATGGATCGTTCCTGTATCAGATTTAGAATTTAGCTCTGAAAATCAACTAATTGTCGGGTCAGTTTATCAAAAAAATAAAACAACAATCTGTTGTGGTGTTAAGTCATGAATGGTTCTGAACATGGAAGTTTGTTCTTGCCCTTGACATGATAACAGGGTGGTTGTGTATGAGGTATTGTAACACCGGTCTCTATTGAAGGATGGTCTCTTTCGGTGGATGGTTGTTTCTCCAGCTGTCTACTGACCAGTGGTGCCCGACACATAAAGCTCTATTAAGGATCAAGGCTAAATCTCTGTCGACACACAAAGGCAGAATATATGCATACACCTGGTTTAAGTCAGATTTACAAAGCTGTGCATAATGGTTCTGATCTATGTACGCATCTCAATTGTTACGGAACTGAGTGGACATTCACAAATCTGTGCCGTTTCCATCTGTTCATTTGTTTTTACACTGTTCAATCGAAGTTGTGTCAAGTGCACCGCACTTCACCTCGCAGCGTTCGTTAAATCCCTTATGTGGATAGGCTTAACTATCAGCATAAATCAAACTGTCATATTATATCATCATATCCAATTAATACCATGTTTCAAACTACCACTCGATACAGTACATAAACAAGCAATTACAGTAATAATATGGCAGGAGATGCAAGGGAATTATCTTATTGTTTTGGGGCGTGATAATCACTGAACATAGTAATTGAAACTGTCGAATATACTTCCACCATGTCTTTCTTTTTCCAGGTTTCTTCTTCAATCGGCGGCAGAGTGATGTGGAAAAGTGTAGCTGGAGTGGACACGGGAAGACAGAGTTTCCGCATGTGCAGCCCATCAAGGAATAAGCACAGAGGGATGCTGGGTAATACAATAGAGCCCCTTGATAAGGGAGGGAATAGATACAGAGCAGGAAATAGCAAAAATGCAAATGAAAGCAAGATGGCAGGAAGTGGACATTGGACTGAAAGAAAAGTTGATTATTTGAAGTTCGTTGACCTCTGAGAACAGCCTATCAGTCAAATTCCCACTTCCTCTCCTCTCCCCAGCCTCCTTAATTTAAATTGTTATCTCCGTCCTTCTGACTGCTCCTAAGGAGCATGAAAGAAGTCCGCTCAAAGGCTCTCAGAGAGAGAGACAGTAGGCGGCAAGAGAGACAAGACAGAAAGAGCAACTCGGTAATAACTCAAATCAAAAATACCAAAGAGAACAAATGACGACACACCATGGTTTTCTTTCTTCATAACCAAAGGCAACGATGGCAATTTTGTAAAGAGAGGCCATCTACTTCTTCTTTGTCTTACAGTGAGAACCAGACAAAGAGACATGTAGGCAGTCTCAGAGCACCGAGTGATTGCCTCTGGATTGCGGTGGTTGTGTTTTAGAAGAGAAGGGATTTCAACAGAATTGTTTTACTCTTTGCACCCACCTTAGCCGCCTCAGAATACATCAAACGACATAATTCTATTTAATCAGCGAACAACAGTAAAGCAGTCTGCATGCTCATTCCCTCCACCCATCCGAGCACGGTCCTGTAAGCAGAGGATTCTCCTTCAAGTTGCCTACACAGCACCATCTAGTGGCAATGCATACAGTCAGAGGCAGTGCAACATGGGAAGTCAGAGAAAGCAGGTTTAGTACTCCATTGTTAGTACTCCATCAAGGTGTCACTGCTGGGTGAAGCCACACACACACACGCACACAATAAGACAGCGTTTCAAGCATCTGTCTGTGCTCCCTGCCAAAAGACTGCACAACAAAGCCAATTATATTATTAATGAATCCTCGAAGGTTATTCAGAGGAGTGACACAAAACATACTATTTTATCAAATTATGTAAAATACCATTCCTATAACACTGTTATATTATCCTAGAATAATATAATACATATTTCATTATACACGTGTATATTTATTTTATTTTATTACGGTTCATTGCTTGCACTTGAACTTCAATCTTCACTTAACTTTAAATGACTTTTCTTTCTACTTCTTTCAGCCATTATGTTTCAGCTGCCACTTCAACTAATTTCAGAGCTTCAACCTCAAGTACAACTTAAAATGATTTAATATCTTCATCCTCAGTTATTAGAACTATACACAGCCATTCAAAAACTCAAAAGACTCAACATGTTGAAACTGTAAATTATCAGCATGTACATTTTCTTCAGAATCTGAATTATTATGAAGTGTACTCCATTATATTACTGAACATGTTATTGTATTATATACTATTAAATTGTGTAAACAGCCACAAATGTATATTTTCACAGAAAAATGCATTATTGGTTAAATAATTTTTTTATATATTACATCAATGTGCACAACCCATGTTTATGGACACTGGCCTAGGCTATTGTACTCTCTAAGTTGGATTTCCCACGCATAGACTACTCCCTAAGTGTTGCATCTCTGTACATCTTTGCAATTTTCATTTATGGTGTAGTTCTACTTATTTTGTCCTTTTCTCTGCTCAACCTGTTCTGTATCTTTATCTTGTCTCTTTTTGAGTTGCTATAACACCAAACGTCTCCCTCCATAGTCGATAAAGTACTAGCCTATATTAAATACCATAATTCCACATTAGAATCCAGCTGTACATACCAGGGCGAGAGTATACAGACATGAATATGGCAGAGTAGAGAGTATACAAAGTATTGAAGTCTGGTTTTTGACTAAACGGCTTCAAAGGTCAAAGGCCGTAGCAACTTGATTGATTTTTTGCAGGTTTAAATACCAGCCCAATTCCACAAGGGCCAGACCAGCCTCAGAGTTGGTTGTTGGGGGCAATAGGACATGAACCCTCACATTTGTGCTTCACAAGTGGTGTCGAGTTTCTGTGAAGTGCTGTTGACAGTGTGCAGCTGTGTGCCCTTAAGGCACACCTCAGCTCAACACAGCTATAACACCTCAGGAGCATCACATGTCTGACAGCTGTGACTCAGCGCAGGGACGTGTACAGTGTCCCATCACACTCGCCTTGGTAACCGAAGATGCAGAAACTGAAGTTATAGCGGTCTGCTGATAGTACAACCCACTGAAACATGCACCTAAGGGTGTCGGGGCTGCTGCCGTGTTCAGGAGGCATCATGCATCAAACCCTTATCAGTCAACACACCCGAGACACATCGGACTCTGGATTAACACTCACAAACAACATGTGCACACATCAGCACACAAACACACACACTCCACTCCCACACACAGACAAAAGTTACTCTCCACCTGCTAAATATCTCTCACCTCATCAAACATGCATGCCAGCGAAGGCGAAGGTGGTGAAGTAGAGTGAGGTAGGAGATCTATTTTTTTTGGTCACCCACACAACCCTTTTTGCCAAGCTATTCTAGGATGATGTAGACAGATATCAGTTTGATGGTTTCTATCAGGTTTGCTAGAATTTCTCAACTTGAGTGGACTTTTTCCACTTAAAGCGAAGAGAATACATCCCATTGGGAGCATGGGTGTTCTAAATAAAATTTCATGGCAATCTGTCAATTAGATTTAGAGCTATCTTGTGTGAAAAGTTGATTTTTTTTTGGAATACAGCTGGTAGGCGGACCAGGAGAGCTCATTAAGTGTCCAAATAGGGAAAAGGTTCAAAAATTGTTGAGCATGAATGTGAATTGAATGTCAATCTGCCCTTTAGATGTTGATATTTTCTGCGTAGAAATGTTGGCCCTGTGGTGGTACAAGAAAAAGGATCAGGAGGTCATCAAAAACATTAGGCTTCATCCTCTGGGGAACATGAACCTCAACAGTAAATTTGATTGAAAACCAGGCCATAAGTTGATGAGTTATGGTCTGAAACAAGCTACGCAGCAGCTAGGGACGTGGTATAGGTGAGTGTGACATGAAGGGAGGCAACACGGAGAGGCAATTATATCAGAACTGGAGAGTATTTCTTAATTCAAAGAAGAGCAAAGAATGGCACTGAAGGCTTTTCTCAACGGAAAATATGTTTTCGGTATTCTCCTGTCAGAATTTGATTGACAGATGGGTCATCCAATCACCTGCCAAGTATTTCTTGAAAGTGACTTCCCTCATCCGTCTCCAATGACGGCTTCTCAGATGGTTCTGTGTAAAAAGACCATCTGGCAGGGTCAGGAAAGAATAGACCAACAGCAAAGACCAATGTCCAGTTCTCCAACAAATGAGTGCTGTTTGAAAATGGTGATTGTTCATTGGGTGGAATAAGGGCGGTCTGCATCGCCCGGGCTCCATAACTTTGCAAAACCAACAAGCACACAGACAATTTTCCCAATTTTCCCATGTGTGCACAGATGTGACGATGGGCAGAGCCCTAAGCATGCTAAAAATTCTCTCCACATTCCTCATATCCCTTCTTCCTTCCTTCCCTCTGTGTTCACTGCTGAGCTGCACCAATTGCCTCCATCTTGGCAGCAATGGAGTGGCAGTTTGCTGTCAGAAAAGAGGCTGTCAGAATGCAACTGAAACCTAAATCAACTGCTGAGACACATTTGCTCAGTTTCTTGGCGCTGATAGAATCACAACACGCACCACATATGTGTACTGACTGTCAACGCAATGTTTACAGTCTCATGCACCAAACATGTACTCCTTAGGCTTTATAACTTCATTCCCCACTATGACAACTAGCTTCGTTTTTCCACCACCAAAAGACAGACACTTTGAAAATATCAGCCTTTAGATTATGTCAGTAGTAGGACACAAGAAGAGCCAATACTCATGGGGAATTTCCAAACAAACAAATGAATTAACTGCTAAATGCAAGAATGCAGTCTTGTGAATTTTTGCCACGTTGGCAGTGTTGCTCTAGGGATGGCGAAGTCTGTTGGTCAGTCAGACTTGGGTGATCCCCCTGACGTCTAATCTTGTGCCAACAGCAAAAACATTTTAAGCAATTTCAATAATTCTCTACAGCTGTGTGCCTCCGTATAAGCAGTGTTTAATGCAACTTTCAGATATCAGGGATATCGCTTCTCAGTTGGGAAAGTGATAGTCTTGATAATTCAGATCATTATATGGTAAGATCAGGTGTTCTTGTTAGTATTGAACAGTAAAGCAGAGTTACATGGGCAAACTGTATGCAACAAAGATGATAAAAGATGGTGAGCCGCTCCTCGTTTTATGCTTTAGAAAAAACCTCTTCTGTAGAAAATGTTTTTTTCCCCGTAAACAATATCCATTACATGTCAACAAATCCATGGAACAACTCATCCATGGTACAAAACCAAAGGAGGAACACTGTCCATTTACAACAGACCGATTAGCTGTCAAGTGGTTGCTGAGGAAAGAATGGGAGAATTAATACATAAATGCAAATGTACCATTGGGGCTCCGATGACCGAGTGGATGGTTGTTTTTCTGCTGCTTATAATTGGTGAGTCGGTGACCCCTGATTGTATAAAGTATTACACGCAGTAACACAATTGGCATGCGTTAAGTGTTGAAGGCTCGCTCACCCACGCACATAATTACCAGTCTTTCTGAGGTTTTCCCATACCATGAGCGGTTGTTAAGTGGTGCGGCTTGAATTGGGAAATTACTTCCCTGGGGGTGTGTTGACTGCGTCGGTCTGTACCTGGTGCCAGCTACTCGTTTTTGCAATTCATAGAGACAGGATAGGAATCAACGAATTGAAAATACTTTATGGAGAAAAACATTTTTCAATGGGTTGCACGGTGGTGTGGTGGCTAGCACCGTCTACACACAGCAAGAGGGTCCCGGGTTCGATTCCCGGGCTTGCATGTTCTCCCCGTGTCTCTCCAGCTACCTCCCACAGTCCAAAGACATGCAGCTCAGGTTAACTGATTACTCTAAATTGCCTGTAGTTGTGGATGTGAGCGTCTCTTATGTGTTCGCCCTGCCTTCGCCCAGTGTCAGCTGGCATCGGCTCCATGGATGGATTTCAATCACATCAGTATTGTTGCAAAAGCTTTTGATGTGTTTTTAATAGACCATTTACATCATTGCACAAAGCTCAAACTAAACTAACTTAACTAAAATTTAGGTTTTCCCAGAGAAAATGTAATCTTGATATACTAATCTCAATCTTCATTTTACCAACACTGACCAAATTAGCACTGAACAACAATGACTGACCATTATTACATTTTTGATTGAAGCCTAACATCTGCCACTGTCAACAAACCAACATAATGGGTCGGTCACTTTTAATTGACAGGCGACCCAAAACACTAATTGTGTGCCGTTCACTCTCACTAATGCAAACAGCTGCAAAGTGAAAATTGCTATTGCATTTCTAGATTTCCTCGATGTATCATCCGATTTCTGTACTGCACATTCGTGTTGCGTATCAGCCACCATATATGCCGTTACCACTTCATCAGTCAGGCTCTTGTTTGTAAATCATAGGTGTTTATGGGGACGATGGGGACTAAATTATAATACAAATTAAAGTCTTATTTGACTCACTCTAGCAGTAAGTGGAAAAAACTAATTGCAGCATCAAACTCACAGCTTGTTTAAATTCCCAGAAAAAAAAAAAAAAAGAGCATCCCTGAGCAGAAGTGATGGCACAGTAGACCTACGCAGTAAGTCTTTTTTAAGGGAATAAAGTGAGTCATGCTCATAGTCTGTAGAGTCAATGATGTCAAACATCACCCAGGCAACCAGGAGTTTGAGTTCACTGGTCATTGCCACTGTGTTGCTTACTGAAGCCAAAGCATCCGAACGTAACCAGCACCACGGGCGAGAGTGACGGGCTGTCGGACTCCTGTCAGTCCAAGGCTTCCTGTGGATTTTTTGACCTCACTTGCCACAAGCATGCACACGCTCATGCGGGTGATGCAATACACGATCCTGCCAATGGTTTCACACTATGCCAACACAGGTGGCAGTAACACGTCAAGGATATGTTGCAATGCGCCAGCAAGGGTGGTGAGGAAGAAGACTGCAAGCTAGCAAACAACGATGTAGCGAATGCAGGATTTAAAAAATACTTAAAAAAAAACTCAGGGTTGCAAATGTTTTATGAGGAAGGAAATGCCTTCAATGCATTTCTTAGACCCTGAGGATACACACAATGCGTTTTGCTGAGTAAGACAAAGACAAACCTCTCTTGAAGACGTGGTATCTTTCTGATCAAAGTGTACTTTTTTCAAAAGTTGAAAACTTTATTGAAACTATACCTTTGTGCAAACTTTCAAAAGAGATGTTGGGAAGTTGTCTCTAAGAAATACCCCAGATTAAAGCGTATATAAACTGCACGAAACCAAATCATCACAACCATGGATGGAGTGATACTCCAAGGACAAGAAAGAAGTGATGAGAGAACAAAGGGAAGATGAAGAGAGGGCAGTAGGGCGAGTGTGTGCAGGTGTCTTTAGTACATCCATTATTGCTTGTGAAGACCTGTGTGAGTTGCGTGAAGGGAAGAGGTCGGTCTGGTTTGTCTTTATTTAATTGAAAGGTTGATTTCAAGCTAGGACCTGGGTTTAGGATCAACATTAAGTACGGTTTAGAAAGAGTATGTGTGCATCCCTCTTACCATCGTCTCTCGGCCTATTGGAGCGGAGAAGACCCACTCCAGCTGGAAGACAATTGCCAAAGCGTGATGATTGGTCAGCCTGAGCTCCAAGCTGCTGCGAAGGCCCAGCGTCTGAGGGAGGGTTGATATTGCAGAGCTGAGGAGAGAGCAGACACGCGCATGTAGTGAAGGGCGCATGTTGAGAGAGAGAGAGAGAGAGAGAGAGAGAGAGAGAGAGAGAGAGAGA